GTGAAAGCCTGAGAGAGTGTCTTCTCCCCATGTGACTCTCCTTAGGCACACTCTACGTCATCGATCACTTTCCTCTTTGGCCCCATTATCTTCTTGATCAGAAAATTGGGGACACTACCGAGGTACATGACGTTACAGTACAAGTTCTCATATGTCCTGAGTCTTAATTGACCCAGTGTATTATTTGTTGAAACTGTACTTTCGATTTGATTTGAAACTGTCTCATTGCTATATGTTTATCAATAAAACTTTGAAAAATAAAATAAAATAAAATAGAATAGATATACAGCTGTATTATCTTAATTCAATGAATAGAAAGACTTGTTTTATAGTATTTATGGACAGGATATCATGTCTGCATCTTGTAGAATGAATAACCACTAAGACAACAATATGCAATGTATTAATTATTGAAACTGTCCTAGTAATCAGATTTGAAACTGTCTCATTGCTATTTGTTTCTCAATAAAATTATTAAAAAATAAAAATAAAAAAAATTTTTAAAAAAGAATTGCATTAACCCGGCTCTGCAATTTAAGAAAGGAATGGGGCACATGCGCGCCTTGAGCTGTGCTCTGGTGCAGTGAGCTCAGGGATCAGAGACCGGAAATGTACGCGCGCAGAACGGCCAGCAGAGGGCAGCAGCGGCGATGAAGCGCACGAGAAGCCCGGAGGTGCTGGTGAGGAGCAGGGGCAGGTGCCCTGCTGCCTGCTCCACAGTAGACGCGAATGAATTACTGACTTCTGAATGTGTCTATTACGCCAGACCTTGCACTCCTGAGATGCAGGATTGCACGCTCCAGTGCAAAAGAAAGTCAGGAATGTAGACACAGGTGGAAAGAGGGGAAAGGCGTTAAGCACAGGAAAAACGTGAGGGGAGAGACACCTAAGCATGACGCCCAATGGCGAGTTGAGGGCACCTGCCGTTGAATCCCCCCTTTCCTTCGCAGGGCTGCTGCAGCACTCACCGCGCAGCTTATTTCTTCACAGAGGCCTCGCATGAAGCCTCCTGCCCGCGCTTCCTGCCTCCAGCCAGTCTTCCTTTCAGTCCAATCTGCTTGCAGGTCACTCTTCCTCCAGGGTGGTTATGCTGAGTTCACCG